AAAACCTATTTTATACCTTTACGTTTTGCCTGTTTTCCTGGTGTGAGTTCCCCTCACACTAGGCAATTTCAAACGGTGGTTGTTCAGCTCACAAAGTGAAATCAAGGGTGCACGTACTAGCGAAAAACCACATCAAAAAAAAAAAAAAAAAAAAAAACAAAACGAAAAACAAGCTCCCCACCCAATTCCAAAAACCTATTTTATACCTTTACGTTTTGCCTGTTTTCCTGGTGTGAGTTCCCCTCACACTAGGCAATTTCAAACGGTGGTTGTTCAGCTCACAAAATAACTTAGTATGTAAGAAGAACTTGCATGGAGCTAACTCCCCTATACCAGTTACATAGATCAGATTTAAAAATTAAGACCTTTTGTATATTAGATTCTCCTGGGAGGTTTTAAAGATCTAAGGCTAGGGCCCCACATCCCGTTTTTGTCTGTCTCCAAAGCTTTTCAGGTAGTTGTGGCATGTAGCCAGGACTTCGAGCCAGGGTGACAGGCAGCTGGCAGAGGAGCCTCGGGGTGTCCCAGGGCTCACAGACACACGATTGGCCTGCCCTCGCAAACATCATTTTGGCATGGACATTTCATTTATTCTAGGTAGAGAATGTCAGTGGAGCCTCAAAGGTGCCCTTGTGCCTCTAAAATTTAGGAACTAGCAGTGCAGGGGAAGTTCTAGAATACCCACTTTTTCTTTGTTGTTGTTTTTTTGGTTTTTTCCGGTACCAGGAATCAAACTCACAACCTTGCGCTTGCCAGGCAGGTGCTGTGCCGCTGAGCTAAATCCCCAGCCCATAGAATACCCGCTCTTTAATTACTATGAGTGTCCTGTGTCTAATGGTCTTTTGGTGAAAGCAGAGTAGTCCACAGCATGGGTGCTGGCAGGGCAGGGGCTAGTTGCAGCAGTGCTCTCTGCTGCTACTTAAGAACTGGGCAGCAGCACCCTAGAATGCTGGTGAGCAGGTAAAAGTGGGCAGCCTGCTGTGGCCTTTAAACAGCCCCAGGCATTATCTGATGCTTTCTTAGTGCTTAGTGCACAGCTACTCACCTCCCTTGGAGGAAGTCTTAGCTGTTGCTAAAAACCAGCCCTGTGTTCTGCACATTAAGGAAGGTGATAACCCCAGTCCCTGACACTCAGCCTCCAGGATCTCAGCTGGGATAAATACGACCAGGAAATGTCAGAGCACTTGTTTGCCACAAAGCCCAGGTAACTGTCATGGGACACACTTGACTTCAAAGCAGCATAGCTGTCCAGGGATCTCATGGAGTTAGGTTAACTTCAGAATGAGTCATTGAGCAGTTAAACACATTTCTTTGATATGAGGGATTAAGAAGTGTCAATAAATATCCCCTAGAAATGATGTAGCCTTAGAAAATCTGAAATTAAGCCAGCACTCCTGGATTATGAAAATAAAACCATCTAACCATCTTAGTGATGACTGAATAGAGCAGAGCCAGCAGTTGAACAGTGGACCAAGTATTTCTGCTGTCTTGGTTTTCTTGTCCTGGTCTCACTTGGTAGTTCAGGCTGGCTTTGAATTTACTGTGTATCCCAGGCTGGTCTCCTTGAGGTAATTCCCCTGTCTCAGCCTCTTGAGTGCTGGGACTACTGGTATGGGTGTGCATATAGCTCTATGCCCAGCTCTATTGTCTTTTGAGGTAAGGTTCAGACCTACAGGCTGATTAAAAAAAATTTTTTTTAAATTTCTCCTTTGAAATCTCAATCACAAAGCCAAATATAGAACTGTTTTCTAGCTAGTTTGTAAGAAGATAGAGGTTTCAGGTCTGTGCCTTATCAATCTTGGACAAATATTATGTTCTGAAATTCTCCATGCAAAACTGTGAGACCATTTTTATGGGTAAAAAGTGTTAGGCCTCCCCAGGGTCACAGAGCCAGTGACAGATACAGATTAGGACTTGAAGTGAAAAAAAAAAAGACTTTCTAGGATCTTTTATGATCATGAAATTGGAAGACTTGGGCTTCAGACCCAACTCAACCTCGTGACCTTGGGTAAGTCATTTAAGGTCTTCAGAACCCAATTCCTGCCTCTGTTTATAAAAAAGATGCTCATATCTGCATTCTCCCCCTCAGCGGTGGCCACTGAGAATGCTTAATTCATTCAATTCTCCAATCCAAGGAAATAGGATTAGATGCTGGGAAACAGTTCAAATAAAACGCAGCTCAGAACCTAGTAACTCATGGCCTGACAGGGCGAGAGGGCAGGTGGGAAGCCATTGAGATACCGGGCAGTGGTGGCCGTGGTGTGCCTGGGAAGCAGGCACCGTGGAAGCACAGGATGCTGAAAGGATGGTACCTTGATGGATAAACATGCGTTTTTCAGACTTACCAGCTGTCCTTAAGTGTCAGCTGTTCGGGGGTGCTGTGGGGGAACTGGACCAGTAGGGCAGTCACCCTGGGGTCTGAGGAGGAAGGCAGGCATTCATCATAGTGTCACGCAGTGGATGAGAACTCAAACTCTAGCTGGCCACTGGCAGAGGGACTCAGTGCCAACCAAGAGCCTGTGGGTAATAGGATTCGACCTTCTTCTGGGGGTTGGAAAAGGCTTCTTGAGGAAGGAACAGTTGTGGGAGATCTGCCAGTAAATAGGCACCAGTAAGCTAATTAACCACAAGCAAATTAACCCAGCAGTTCCTTCTCTGTCCCAAGGGAATAATAACAGCAGGCACTCATAGAGTTATGGTGTCCTAAGAGACAATATGTGGGAAGCATTTAATAGCCCATAGATGCATAGTAAGTACTTGGTATATGTTGGCTATTACGTGAATTTCCATTCATTCAGCAAATATTTATTAAGTGACTATGTCTGCCACACTAAACTAGTTATTGGGAAATATGGTCTCAGTTCTTCAGGAATTTATAGTCCACTAGATGAAATGGATATTAAAAAAAAAAAAAAAATCTCACAAGTACATTGAAAATCAGAACTTTAGCTAGAGACCATAAACTTAGGTGCCTTCAGGGCAAGGACAGCTTCACATGGGTGAAGCAGCCTAATGTATTAGGGGAAAATTAAATCTGGACAAGCAAGACTAGGCTTTCAGATTCAAAATGCTTTCAAACACAGGAAGTATCACTGGAAGCATTTTGGGTGGGGATATTTGGTTCTATTTACTTTTACAAGAACGTTCCTTCTGAGGATGCCACAGGGACCTGAGAAAGAGGAGGGCAGGAGGCAGCAGGAACCTCAGTGACATGGGCTAGGGAGCTCAAGGTCTGAGTGAAGGTGAAGCCCTGGGCCCTGGGGGGAGGAGGAGAGGAAGAGAAGGAGAGAAATGACTCGAGACAGGCAGCAGATCAATAGGGGAGGTAAAGCCTGTGTTCCTGGAAAGAATGGTCACTGGTCTCATCCTAGCTGTACTATCATTCTCTACACAGCAGATATTTTGCTGAGTCCGAGTACTGCTGGTTAATACTGTGGTGAGCAACAGACCCACAGAGCTCATGTCTGTCATTGGCTATAGTGAAACGAAGTCTTAAATGATTTCACAAAAAAATTACATGAGGCGATGAGTGTGTTAATTAGCTTGACTTAACCATTCCTCAATATGTACATGTATCATAATACCACATTGTATCCCATAAATTTCTACTATTCTTATCTGCCAATTAAAAATAAAAACAGTAAGGTAGGAAATAGCATAGGATTCATGATTACCCTCTGGGACAGAATTGTTGAGAATCCCAGTGGTTGTAAGGAAATCTGCTTTTAAAAAACCAAACACACAAGCCATCCTGCTTGTGTTGCCTCTTGGGCTCAAACAAGGTGGGTGAGGCCTTGTCTGTGAGGTCCGACTGCCGTACGGTATCATGCTTAGGTGGTTCAAGTGACACCTGAAGCTTGCCATGTGTGTTACAGATATGTAATCCACCAGATCAGATTTACGACTGCTGCTGTCCACCTAAATCACATTCCTTGGGGCACAAGTGCACTGACTTCATGTATGTGGTGTTATATACCTGTACCTTTTTCTTTTTTTCCAAACAGGTGGTAACAAACAGGGATACACAAGAAACTCTGCTCTGCATGGCCTGTGTATTTGAAGTTTCAAATAGTGAACATGGAGCACAACATCATATTTACAGGCTTGTAAAGGACTGAACGTGGTTATTTATATATATAGATATCTGTATATATATACACACATACGTGCACACACACACTCTCCATTATCGAACGACTGACTGTAAACCTCACCACACAGGTGGTGCCCTGGCCCCGAGGTCACCCCGACTTTTCTAAATCCTGTTTGAGTGAAGTCATTTTTTTCATGTGTTCATATTATCATTGTAGCTGTGAAGTTCTGGTACAGTTGTAAAAAGAGAAATCGAGATGTTTCTATGTGTTCTTCAGATCTGCAGCCCACAATTCCTCGGGAAAGGTGAACCTTAATAACCCGTCTCGCTCTGCGGAGACCTCCTTATTGTGGTAGAAAATATTAAGACAGAGCATTGGCCATGGGACATTCACTGCCTTTATACAAATGTATTTAGTTCTTCTTTTTCCAACATAAAATTCTTGTTTTAAGATACAAGTAAAATTAATCTTTAAATATAAATGTAAATTAGTACACAAAACTAAGAATCTTTAGACTTATCTTTGTAACTAATTAGGGTGGAAGTTATGAAAGAATGTAATTCACTAAATTATTTTTTAAATGAAATCTTTCTTTCTTTTTGAAACCAAATGTTAAACTATAGCCTTAAGAAATGCTTGGTAGAAATACCCTAATGAGACAAATTTGTACTTTTTTCCTCAAGGTTAAAACTAATCTCCTAATCCATTAAACTCTTGAACAGATATTACAAAGGAAGAAAATTTTACCCTTTATCCTTAACGTATATAGTATATTTAAAAATGTAAAATTGTATTGTACTAATGTGATGATTGATTATTTAATGAAAAAAATGGCTCTTTTGCAATAAGTAGATAAATACTGAAAAATCTAAACTTAAAATGTTTATAGTCTTGTGTGCAGTTATATTTTATATGGACAACCAAAATTTTTATTAAGATGAGTAAATATTTGAAATTTAATAGCAAAATTTTAAATTGGCATGAATACTGCACTGTGAGCTGCAAAGTATAGAGAATCCTGTGGCTGGGAGAAAATTTCCTCAACCAAACAAATAAAAAAAGGCTCATCAGGTTTAGCGTCTCTGCTCTCCAGAAAATTGCAAGCATCCTCACCAGCCTGTGGATAAATCGTTCCTCTCTAGTGACCCAATATACATAGGAACCTGCAGTGACTATAGCTGTGTGCGTGTGTGAGCATGCTCACTGCATATGCACACTTACACACATACGTGGTTACTCAACACTCTGTTGAACATCCATTTGGTGTTGCTCAGTTTGTAAGGTGCTGACAAGTATTGTTTCCCAGTCTGTATCTATTGACTTAGCTAGATTCTCTCTAAGGACATCCAATTCCTTCACATCTCTCAACAGGTGACAGTGGCACTTGTTTGACTTAGGTTTAAGAGGCCCAGCTCCTTCTCTCTGACCTTTTCAAACAGGCTCAGTCTCTTTCCAGGAGAGATTCAAGTTTCCAGTCCAGATATTCCAAAGTATTGCCCAGGCAAGTTGGTTTCATGTGACCACCATGTCTTGGGTTATTTCCATAAGTGCTTCACTGTGGGAGAGCAGAGGGGACTCTACCCCTCAACTTTCCAGAGGAAAATGGTGTTTTTATAACTGTTAGGTGATTTCTGAACACAGTAGAACATGAAATACGCTTTGTAAGTTGTAAAGAATTTAAGATTTTTTTCACCAAGGCTAGAAGATAAAAACATAGTTCTACTACATCCAAGTAACTTACACATCGCCCTCCCTTGGCCACCACCTGCCCTGGCCTCGCTTGTCCTTTGTTCAGATCTTGTAGTCATGAGTGTGACCACGTAGCTGGCCCATGGCAAACAGCACAGCGCTGGACTAAGCCTGGCCTCTCCCTTACCCTGCCTAGTCACTGGGAAGAACAGAGCAGGATGTGCAGACTTTCTCATTTGGAATTCAAGTCTGTTAATAAACCAGCAGGGCAGTGTTCCTCTGCCCCTAAAACAAGACTGCCTTTGTTCCCTGTTCCAATCTGGACTTTGGAGAATTGCCCCAGTGTCCCACTCTTCAGTGTGGTCTTCAGCCCAAGCACTTACGCATCTTCTGCAGTCCTGAGCTTGACCGTAACTTCTGATGAACACACCTCTTAGGGGTGTTTCTTTGACTTCTATTCCCTGCGTCTTTCATCAAGGGAACCCTCATTCTTCTAAGACCAGGACTTAGAAGCTGGTGCAGATGAGCCCATGTAGCTAACTTCAGGGAGGAGATGCCTGGCTTGAGTTCCACTGGGAATGGGGCTCTTCTGTGCTACTAGGAGGGCTTTTGGGGTTTACCTGCCAAAGCACAAAAGAGGCAGGGACCCGGGAAGGCCAGCTAGAGGATGACTGTTCATTCCTGGCCTCATTGCCCACATCCTCCTTTCAGTGCCCTTGCAGTTGAGTTTTAGGAGTTTGCGTGAATGACACTGAAGATTACTTTTGGCTTTTAAAACATCTGTAAGGTTTTAAGTTCTCATAAGGATTTCTCCAGGAAATATGTGTTCCTTTTATTAGCCACTGGTCTAGTTAGCCCAAATTCTTGGGCTAGCTTTTCTTGGTCTCTCCCAAATCAGACCCTTGGGTAGGATTTGTGTCCTCACCCCTAGTTCGAGTCTGTCTTTGTCCTGTATGGTTGTTCCTTCTCTTTTTGTCTTAAAAGCTTCCTAAACAAGGACACCTGTGCAAAGACCCAACCACTCCTCCTCTCTGGGTGCTCTCATCCTAAGGCCCCTCACTGCCACATTTGCAGGAATAGCTTGCATTCTCACGGTGGAGTTTGAAGGCCGTTTTCTAGAGGGAGGAGCTGGTGAGCAGAGCTCTCTTCTGTTGGCATTTATTTCCATCGCAGTAAGTGATCTAAGGAACAACCAAGACTTCAGAACATGTGTAAAATCCCAAGTGTCCGGGCGTCCTGAGACCAGGGTTTTTCCACCTCAACACTATTTGACATTTTGTACCAGATAGTCCCTTGCTGTGTCAGGCTGTCCCGAGCATTGTAGGAGAGCTGCTGATATTCCTGGCCTCTACCCAGCAGTTCCTCCTCCCCCCAGATGTCACAGGCCACAGTGTCCCCAGACATTACCCCATGTCCTGTGGGGCTCAACAGCACTCCCAGTCTTAAGTGACTCCTCTGAATCTTAGGGTCGTATTAGCACATTGGTGGTGGTTTTCCCTTTTATTTTGCCCTGCTAAAGCTGTCTACTGGGAATCTTGTTTGAGGTCCTCAAGAGGCAGCTGGGAATGTTAATATTAATCAGATGACACTGTGTTCCTGTTTCAAAACTTCTCTTTCCTAGCAGTCTCTCAACCTACAAGTATTCTTTTGCTCATCTCTGGTGAAGTTAAAAACCAGCCAGTCACTATCATCCCTATCAACTAACGCCCGTTTAAAGAGCATTTCTGATTTGACTTTCAGATCCAGTAATTTTCATTGTCATAAGCTCATGGGTGTCCTCATCAAACCTTCCATCGCTTCAGTTGACTACTCTGGGGTGCTTCTACATTTCTGCCTTCCTGTGAGTACTGTTTGTAGAATTTACTGCAACCTCCAGAACACTTTCTTTTCACCTCTAGGATGGAGAGAGGGAAGATCTGTTCCAGAAAAGGGTTTATAGCTTTTTTCTTTCCTGAGCTAAAAGAGAGCACAGGTTGTTCTCCTTCATCTTGTGGGCGAGAAGGTTGGTGCCCAGAGGGGACATGGGATGACTTGCCCAAGTCATCCCGCTGGGTGGTGACAATCAAGATGAGCACTCTTCAGGGCTCTGCCTCTTTAATCCTCGGCCTCTTCCTGCAGAGGCCATTCTTCTTCGGTGCTTTATGCTTACATGATCCCAAGGAGGAGTGGAGAGGGTTGGTCAGACAAGGGGGCGGTGCAGCAGCCCAGTGTCACCTGCTGCCCTGTAATGTGTCCCTGCCAGCCCTGGTCTCCGAGGCATCCACAGGCAGGAGGAAACACTGATGAGCCTTTTCGCTTCCTCTGAAGAGGACATTTCACCTGCCACAGTCTCTGAGTCCAATTTCTATTTGCTGAGCATCCCAGCAGCAAAGTCCTGTCTAAAACCAGCCCCTGATCTGAGCACTTGGTGTTAAAAGTCCCCACGTGACTTTTAAACCCAAAGCTTCTATAGGTTTCAATACTGTGGTGGCTTTAGCTGTTGTTTTTGTACAACCATAAATTATTTAAATCACGTGAGAGGACAGTCAGTTTTACAAACCAGGTACATATAATTTGTATACTTTTGTATATGCTCTGGTACACTACACGTGTCCTAACAAAGGGTAGAGCTCATTCTGTCTGTCGGTGTTCACGCCTGTGACACTAGGGGGATGTCTGCATTGCTTATTTCTTTATGTTGATGTTTCTGTGGCAAAGCCCTGCACGCATCATTTCTGAAAAGCCTTAAATCTCGGAGACATTGCTTGTAGGTTCTGCAGTGCAAGAGGCTGCCTCAGAGCTGTGAGCCCTTTTGTAAGCTGGAAGCGTTTCTCTTACTACTGTTACTTTTTAAGGACGTTTTCAATTCAGAGCTGCCAAAGCGTTCAGTAAGCAGTGCCTTAGTCATACCTTGGTCGTGCCGCCAGCCTTCTCTCACAACTATCTCATTGTCTGCGCACAAATTGGCCCAATCTTCGAAACCGGACAAGAAAAACTTGTTTTCGTTATTCTGTTCCTTAAGCCCATTTTTCTCGGTTCCATTGGAAACTGGTGACTTGATCTAAAATCTGAAACTGAATTCAAGTCAGTTCTTTGACCACACTCTCCATTGTCTATACCAAAACAAAAGGTTGCAACTCTGTAGTTTACTATGAAAAGTAAATTGTACTTTCATTGTGGCCTTTTGAATTCCTGACCAAATACTTAGCTATTTGTGAATCTTCTGCACTCTAGCATGAAAGTGCCTTTGGTTTGAGATTCCAGCTTAGAAAAGTGCTGCCATAATAATGATAATTTGTAGAGAGACCAAAAATATTTTGAGATCACCGTAATGCCTTTGGTGTACCGGGATGAGTAACCAGCCACAGGGCTCTATTCACAAGAGTGCAACGCAGGCTGCCTGCTGCAGCTCTGTCCACCAGTGGGGACCCCACCTGCACTCACCCACAGCACACCACAGCAGGCGCGACCCCGAACTGTTGTGCTGTGTGTGCCGACCACCCGGCGCGTCGTTTCTGATCGTCACCCGGCCCTGCATCCCTGTGAAGGAATTTCCGCACAGACAGCAGAATCTCGGCCAGTGGACAGATGGGACCGCTTTCGCCTTCTCCTTGTGTCTGCTGAGTCTCTCTGGAGACGCCCGTTCCCACTCACATGACAGCGCGCACTTACCTGGTTCACGCGATGGGACCATTGGGAAGGTTGGAACCCTCAAACTGAGAAGACAGTGCAGAACAAAAAATGTGTTAGGGTCATCACAATTGAAGTGTCCTTCTGAGGGCAAAAACGTTGACTTTGAGTGTTGTACATGAACGTGCTATGAGAGACTTCCAAAGAGCACCACTCACAATTCGGCCTTTGCAAAGAATGTTCCAGCCCTGGAACGGGGCAGCTGTTCAGTGTGTGTCGGCTTTTACCCAAGCCTTGTCTAAATTGGGAAAATTGGTAGAGGTGAGGAAGAGGAATGAAAAGGACGAGGCAAAAAAAAAAAAAAACAAAAAACCCTAAAAACTAAACAAAAAACACCAGCCAAAAAGAAGCCAGGAAAAAAGTGATTTTTTTTTTTTTCCTGCTAATATTGATTCAAAAGTAACATCAGACAACTTTGAAAGTTAGCCTCTCTTAATACATTGTCTGTGTGTCTCTCCCGGTGTCTGTCGCCTCTTTAGGCTGTGCAGTTCTACCCCAAGTTGTGAGTTCTTATAAAAGTTCTGTAAATGAACACTGAAATGAAAAGGAAAATTACCGTACACAAGTGCGAGTTAGCTGCCTCCATTCGCAGCTTCTCCCCATCGGGACTCTGTACCACAACTTGGAAGAAATTAGTCAAATGTGTTTTTTCCTGCTCCTGTTTTGAGCTGTTACTGTGTTTTTGTTTGAAGATAGTTTTCTCTCATAGACTCTTTGCTTATATCTTTAACAATGAAGGTTTTGTGTTTAAAATGTATGCATTGCAAAGGTAGTTTCACTGAAGTCATGCACCCTTGAATAAGATGAAATGTTTGTATTTATTGTCCTACTTGCTAAGCTGTAACTTGTTTTACTCTGTGAATCTGCATTGAGTCACTTGTACGCCACACTATGTCATTTTAATATCGGAAACGGCATTTACGCTCCCTCCTGTTCGTCGCTGGGGGGATCAGAATTCATTAGATTGCACTATGTTCTGGTTGACCCTCATCTGCCTTCCAGGATGAGTTGGCTCTGTTGTCCCCTGCTCTAGGAGAGCGGACAGAATCTAGGCATCAATCAATTGGAAATCAGTCCCTGATTTTTTTCATTTTTTGCATTAATCATTTTCTGTGATTAGTTTTCACTGTGTAAATTATATGTTAACTGTACTTTTAAAAAAATGTGCATCTATCTCCCTGTGACCTCCTTGTAAGATTTACTTCTGTATGCCTTTTTTTTTAAAGTAGGCTTACAATTGCAGACAAGGAAAAAAACCAAGTAAAAACAAAAACAGTACGTGCCTAAAAAATGACAAAAAAATTTTTGTAACGTTTAAAAAACCTGAACAGCCTTTACTTCTTTAATATGCTCCAATTTTGTGTAAATTGGTTTTTGCCACGTGTGTTTGTTCGCATTCTAAATGACTTAATGGATTCTCACAGTCTGTATGTCTGTCTCGTGTGTAGAATGGGCTTGTGATGTAAGCTGTCATCTGGTCAGTGGTTCCTTTGATATTGTACTGCTGCTGGGACTACGCTGTGGAACCTGCCTTTGGGAAATAGGTTCCTCTGGGGTTGATGGGTGAGATGGGGGTAGGGTGGGCAAATTCACACGTTTCCTTAACCTATTTGCAGAAATGTTCAAAAGGCATTTGGTTAAACCTTTTGGCAGTACAGTATTCTTGTATCTGTTAACGTTTGTGTTTAGGTACTGGTACCTTTTGTTTAAAAATGTTCTAAGTGTTGGCTTTAAAGTGAATTTATCTTTAGTATGATAGTTATATGAAAATTATAGGGTTTGTGTGCAGAGAATTTTTTTATAAAGTGCTTTGTAAAAAAAAATATGTATTCTAGCTTTCGCGGTACATATGTGTGATAACTTTAATATCCATGACAGTTAAGTGCAATTATTTCATCACTCTAAAAATGCTATTTTTGTGTCAGTTCCTGCAGGTGTTTTCATGTCTTTGCAAAGTGACACATTTTGATGCCTTCTTGATAAAAGTGGTAGACATTTTGTAGCTTTCTAGAAACTTTGTATTCATACGGTATCAATGAAAAATAAAGAAAATGAAAGTGTGGGTCACCTTTTTTATCTGCAAAAGTGTGTGTTGCTGAGAATGAAACATGCTTTTGTTCAGGGAGTGACACGCAGGAAAGTTAAAGAGTCAACACCTTGATCCATTTGATCGTGTCCACCAAGCCCCGTGCAGTAATTAGATTAGACATTATATCTAACTGTATTAAATCAGCTACAAGGTAGTCCCTCAAGACTTTCTGTCTCTCTGTAGCACCAGAAACTTCTCAGAACAGCTCATACGGACCCTTGATGCACCCTGAGAAGCTACATCCCGTGTAGCACAACAGAATCTTTGGGCAAAAAGCACACAGACCCAACAACAGGGTATTTGGTTTTAACCCGGTTTGCAGGGCACATACAGGAGCCAAGGGCAGAGCACAGGGTAGGGATTAAGAGGTAAATAGCATGATCCTGCCTGGCAAGTACTTAGGATCTGTGGTGCTGTGGCCTTCTGGCCCTTGTCCTCACACTCTGAAGAGTTTGTGATCCACTGCCTGCGCATGCACGCCATCAATTCACTGTCCCCTGTGTGCTGAGTGCTGTGCCCATGGTGTTGGCACACAGTACACATTGTGCCCTTTGTCACCGTAGCCCCAGGGACATTACTGCCTCCAAACTGAGGCTCCAGAAAGCAACTCATCCAGAAGTTAGGACTCAGTGGTAGAGCCTTAAATGAGGTCACCCAGACCCTTTAACCTGGACTCTGGGGTGCTGTATTTTGGCTGTGCATGTACTGTGAAGCAGCACAAGGCTAAGGGAGAAAGAACTTTCTTAAATCATACTGACCTTGGACTTGTGACAGCGAGACCAAGTGTACCCTGGGATCCTTAGTTTGAGAACCAGACCGCAGAGGTTCTCCCTTTTTCTTTGAAATAAGATCTGCTTGAAATCCCAAGAAGCCCTAGAGGAGAGCATGAACAGAGAACTAACATGCGCTTGCCTTACAGATAAACATCTTTTCAGATGGGCACTATTGTCAGTGGGTGACTCTGAGCAGCTAGAGGAGAACTGGTACATTTGGCTGAGGGCCTGTTACATGCCAGGCATATACTCTTGGGAAAAGGGGGATTGCTCTTCTCTAGGGAGATAGGCTTCTGGTGGATTGACTGTGTCTTTCAGTAAATAGTCTCCCATTTGTTTTGGCTTCCAAGAAGCTGAAAATTAGAATTTGTGCCCTGTGCAATTGATAAAGAGCCAGCTAAAAGTTAAGGCACAGAAAGATTGAAAATAAATGAAAACTTTATGCTAGTAAATCAAATATCAAAAGAGAGCTAATGTAAGTACATTATCTCAAAGTAATGTACCTCAAGGCAAAGATCTAACTGCTAGAGATAATGAGGATTACTTCAAAATGACATGAGAGGCCAGGCGTGATGGCTCACACCTATAATCCCAGCACTTGGGAGGCTGAGGCAGGAGGATCATTGCAAGTTGAAATGAGTCTGGGCTTCAAAGTGAGCTCAAGGCCAGCCTGAATTGCATAGTGAGACCCTGTCTCAAAAAAAAGAAAAGATGATATGAGAAAGATAATAAACTTGTATGTACCTAATAACGTAGCTTCAAATTATATAAAGCAAAATTGGACAAATTCTTTACCATACTGGGAGGTTTTTAAGCACCTGAACTCATTGTTACAGGTAAAGCAAACTTCCCATCCAAAAAAGGTATAATATAGAGGGTATGAGCCGTATAATGTGCTGTTCTAACTTACCAGACACAAAGTAGGCTATACTTTCATTTTCAAGTACATATGGAATTTTTATAAAAATTGGCCTGCCCAAAGTCACAGCAGGATACTGTGGTATATGGGCCACATCTGACCCACTGTTTCTGTGAATAAAGTTTTACTGGAACAACACAACCACTCTGAGAACAGGCTTAGGTCTGGAAAGGATGGGTGTGGAATAGTGATTTTTCATTCCTGGTGCCTTCTCACCCAATTTTGATGTTTTATGATTAAAACACACCCCTGACAGCTGCTCACCTGTCCTAGTAACTTGCCTATTCACTGAGACACAGTACCCAATACCTATAACTTAAAGGAGAGGCCCATTTTTGTTCATAAGCTTTAGAGGTCTCAGTCCATAATTGGCTAACTCCACAGCAGGAAGGTCATAGAGGAAGGGTCTACACAGAGGGTAGCTGTTCATCCTGTGACAGCAGGAAGCAGAGAAGGGAGAGGGGAGATAAACGTTTCCAGGTTATGACCCCAGTCACCCAGCTCCATCCAGACCCTACTTCCAAACAAGTCAGTTACAGCACCACCATGATCCAGTCACCTTCCAAAATCCCCACCTAATTCTGAACACATGAGGCTTTGGGAGACATTCTAGATATAAACTGTAACATTCTACCCCTGATCCCCCAGAAGACTTACACTCATCTCACTGTACAAAATGAATTTAGTCTCTCAGAGTCACCAAAGTCTTAACAGCTCCACCATTGCTGAGAAGTCCAAGTCCAAAGTCTCTGAAGCTCAAGGAAACTCTTAAGCTATGAGTCCCTGTAAAAATCACAAAGAAAATTAAATATTTCAGATATTCCCATTCCAGAAGGGAGAAACACAAGGATAGAAAGGAATTGGAAGCAAGATCAAAACCCAATAGGACAAACATTAAACCCTATGTCCCTGTGTCCAGTACACAGGCTGGTTGTGGTGAGATGTGAGCTCAAAGGGACTTGGGCAACCCTACCCCTGGAACATTACTGGTTGCACCCCTCATGTACTCTTTCTTGGGGCACTCTGCTCACTGCCAACACCTTTCGTTAGCAGATATCCCATGTACCTGATACCTCCAACCTCCTGGGGCCTCCATAGCACTGCTGGCTTTAGTCTCACAGCTTCATGCATTGCCAACTCAGGGGCACACTGCCTGCCCTGAAATCTGACATCTGGGTGGGACCTCACAGGGACCTCCCTGACCCCACAACTCTTGCATTTGCATGCCCACAAAACCAGCACCATGAGACTTAGAGGGGCTTACAATGAATGACACCAAATTGCCACCAGCTGAAGCAGTAGCTGGGTCCCCTTTCATAATTAAAAATGTCCCAGCCCCAAACTATTATGTGTCTCATTTCTCCGAATACCTGTGCTGGTACTTCATGCTCACTTTTAAAATTCTGCCAAATCCCTTTGTGTCTCTTTCTGATTCACCTTCAAAATTCTCTTTCTGTGACAGCAGGCAGCAAGCTTGCTGCTTGTATTGCACATTGGATGTGGGTAGGCTCCTCACTGCTACTGTGGGAACCTCCTAGGACCCTGTCTGGTGACAGCCGCCAAGGGAGTTCTTGTTCCCAACTGAAACCTTATGACCTTGGCCTTTACTGTCTGCATTTCTGTCCACCTTTTGCCCTTCTGAGCTCTGACCATAATCTCCCTTTAAGCTCAGTATTCAGCATTCCAGGTTTTCTCTAGCTTGCATCTCAAACCTTTCCAGACTTCTCTTATGAACCAGTTCCGAAGGCTCCCGAACCACATGGTTTTGTATATTCACAGCAATGGCCCCGCTTTCCTAGCACCGAAATCTGGCTCAGTCCTTTTCCTTGTCACCGAGACAATGCCCAATGCTTGTCCACAACTTAAAGGAGAAAAGGTTTATATTGGCCCATGGTTTTAGAGGTTTCAGTCCATAGCTGGCTGGCTTGAAGGCGGGAAGCTGAGAGAGAAGGGAGGAACCTGGGAGGGAGATTCACCTTTCCAGGTTATAGCCCCGGTGGCCCACCTCCAGCCAGGCCCCACATTCTAACATCAAGCAAGTCAGCTATAGTGCTACTGTTATCCAGTCACCTTCCAAAATCCCTACCTCTGAACACATGAGGCTTTGGGAGTACATTCTAGATCTAAACCATAACACCTTCTGTCTTGTCCTTGCCTTCCCATGGTCTGGGTAGCCGTCTCCACAGACACTGTGGGGCTGTGCTCCTTGGGGTCTGTTGTATCTACCCCTTTGCCTCTGACAGCTAAGTGCTGCCACCTGGCTTCTGCTTTTCCAGAACCTTATCATCTGTTTGCTGAAGGAAAACCAACATGAATATCTCTCACCATCCACCCTGGCCTGCAAGCCACCTCTGAGTTTCTCAGCAGTACCGTTGCCCAATCACCAGTGCGCTCATTACAGACTTCTGGGGCACATGCTCAGGTAGTGAGTGCTCCTGCCTTAAATTATCAATCCATCCCATGAGCACTGCCTTGATAAACTTTCTGACCCTGCCTCAATACTTTGCTGTCTTTGTTATTTTTCTCTCATTGCTGAGACAAAATACCCAATGCCCAAAGTTGAAGGGGAAAAGGTTTATTTACAGTTTGTAAAGGTTTCAGTCTGTAATTGGCTGGATCCAAGGCAGGGTGGCATATGGCAGAAGGGTAACAGTTCATGGTGGCAGAAGACAGCAAAAGCAATGAGAGCAAAAGGGGAGAGACAAGCCTCTTCCTCCCTTATACTGTATGAACTCTACTCACTCTAGGGTGAGTGTAGCACTCACACCCACAATCCCAGCACTAGACAATGAACCAATCACAAACTCCAGATTGAGCTGCCTCTGAAAAGCCCACCCCCCCATGACAGTATGAGGCTTTAGGGTGACATTCAGACACAACCCATAAATTCTACCCCTGACCCCTCAAAGATTCATGCACATTCCTTTATGCAAAAGGCATTTAGTCCATCTCCAAGAGTTGCCAAAGTCTTAACAGTCTCAACACTGCTGGAAAGTCCAAGTCCCAAGTCCCCTCCAAGATGTAAGAAAGTAACTGTGAGCTCCTGTACAAAAGAAAGTTAAACACAACATTCAATGGGACAAGATAAACATTTTCATTCCAAAAGTTACAAACTGGGGCATGCAAAGAAATGGGACAAAAACAAGTCCAAAATCTAGCAGGGCAAACATTAAGTCCTGTAGCTCCATGTGCAGCATCCAATACAACCTGGCAAATTGTGAACTCCATAGGGCTTGGGTGTCTCCACCCCTATGGCACTTCTGGTGGTTGTAGCTTCCACAACTTCTCTCTTGGGCTGGCTTTG